ATCACATGATCTGATAGTTAAAGGGTTTTTTATACTATTACATTTTTGATACCTTCTGAGAATGTGTTTAGCAATTAACATTATTGTCTTGCATTTCTCAACCCCTGCTTGCATATGCATATTCATGTCTCTGGAGCTCAAACAGACCCTGAAATGCACAACACAATTCATTGGTTGATTGTATTATATTACTCTTACTTTTTCAGTAGTTTTATTGTATTCTAGTCCCGGCATATTCTTAATGTTATTCTTATATTACTTAGCTGTGTATTTAAATTGTTTATATATTGCCTATCTTGCCATGTGTTCCTAAGAGTTTGCAACACTAAAATGCATGTCACGTACATTTAAACTGCAATCAGATTGATCAGATAAGAAGACTGAAACAGCCCAGAATGTGTAAACCTATGGCCTTGTGGAAGTATACCATCTTGAGACATCAAATGTGAAGATTTATGCTTTCAGCTTGTTTGTCAATTGTAATAAGGTTGACACAAGCTTTATCTCAAGAAGGAGGGTATTTCACAGAGTAAGAACCACAACAAAAAATACTTTCTTGTTGCTTAATACCAGCGGAATGTACAAAAGATGTGAGAAAAGAGGATGATCTGTACTAATGGTTGCATCAGTTGGATTGACCTACATGACAGATAGCATATGGTAAAACAGTTCTGACTATAGAAGGCAGTCAAAAAACGTATCACTTCTTCTTTTTCATGACCAGGAAAAAAATGGAATTGGGATCCCATGTTTTTAGCAGGATAACATATCAACTTTAAATTGTAGATACATTTTATTTGTGAAACCCAGCTTCACGTATCACTCTTTCAAAGATATGTTTGTTCCCTTCAGTGTCCAAATGCAATTTAAGTGTATTTCAGACTGGTTAATACTTGTTAAAAAGTTATCGTCTCTTATCAGGAAATTGAGACATTCTGTAGAATGTATGCCTCATTCATTAAAAAGCCTTTGGATAGGCAGTTGCATTTTATTGCTCCACCTGAAACTAAATCTCTCCCTGACAAAATTCTCCTTTCTGTTATAACAGTAGCAACAAATATAAATCTATTAAAATGTTGTAATCTGTAGCCCAGATCTGTCGAGTGCCAGGAAAATCAGGCGATCCAGACAGTTCAAATTGGTATAAAGATTAATTGTAAGCCTGAGCTCTGTACAAGAATCTGAACTACTAACAGCCAAAGGAAATTAGTGGGAGATAAGAGTAGAAGGAATTCAAGTTGGGCTGGACTTAGACCTCTTATGGGTATGAAGGGATTCGTGACTGATGGCACGTTTGACCCCTTCCTTGGGTTCAGCCTGGTCATATCATACATGATATTCCTATGTACATGTAAGACTTGAGCCAGATAGGATGGTGATATTAACTTTTTCTTTTCATGTACAAACATGTGCTTTTATTTACTTCTCAGATTCCTCAGAGGTATTTTAGGTGGGAACCATGTAGTTGGAATTTTACTTATATGCTTCATACTGAAGATTTCAAGAAGAAATGTTTCATATTCAGAAACATTGTGCTACATATGAGACTATGTCATCATGTTTCTGTCAGTTCTAGCCAATTGTGATGCTGTTATAAATAATAGCTGATGAATATGAGGTCTCCAGTAACAAATAGTACTATTTTTAGCAAAGGCACAAAAGAGCATTATTCTACTGAACGGTTAGGATGAGAGCATTCAATCCGGGTAGGATAAAGATTTAGGTCCCTTTTTCCATTGTGATTGGTTCTTCTTTTTTCCTGATGTCATAAATGATTAGAATGTGCAAAATTAACGGGTCTGGAATAGACAAAGATGTTGGTGTGCCAGTGCTATTAGCTCAGCTTTATATCAGCGTAAATATTCAGAATAGACATGAAAGCGTATCAATTAATTAATAACATTGTAAATAGTTGTGATGTAACTATTATTTGGTAATTTTTTTCACCATCTAGTTATTAATTTTTTGCCCTTCTTCATTTTTAATTGATACACTTGAACTTAACTCATGAAGCTTTTCTTATTCGCTTATGCCCATTCCAAGAAAAGCTTCATCTGTTTAACTTCCAGGGCCAAAACCTTTTGACTTAATAACATGAGAAATTTTAGTCATACTTACAGCCCTTTCATTCAGCAACTAATATAATGCTAATATAATGTAGCACCTATCAGCAATTTGTTTTTATGCCAAGCAACAGATTTTTGTGAAGAAAATCTAAAATTCCCAGAGCAAACAAAGGTAAGTGTATTTTTTGTTAAGTATACAGTAAGTAGATGCATAAATTATTCATGGGTAGTTCTCTCATCTGTTTTTTCCCCCCTTTCACAGGAAATTATTTGCCAGAAGAATAATGTAAGTATGTTTTTAAAAACAAAAGTGAAATTTCAGCATCTGCTATATATATTTCTGAAATGTGCAAAGTTCTTTATTGGTTGATAACTTGTCTGAAGATGTAATTGTAATTCTACTGATTCTTCTATTAAATAATATAACTATAAAATCATTCAGTTCAATTCCCAGCAGAACTTTTTTGGAACCTTAATAGATTTGATGCTTGGTATTGTATTAATCAGTTTACTTTATCTTTGTCTGCTTTTAAGATTTGCTGTTTTCTTCAAATGAACAATCTTTCTTGTATTATGCTCTTTATACTCTCTTTTCTCATTTTATTCTTACAACTTACCACTGAGTTTTTTTCAACCTGGTTTCCCTTTTCTGCGTCTGCATTTGAAAGCTGTATTCAGACAGATGCATTTCCTGTCTCAATAAATGTCAGTGGTTGACAGACAGTGCATATCACATAGACTTCCCAGTACTCATAACTCATGAAGGCTTTTGTAAACAAAAGAAAAACTGCATTGGTTAAGCCAGAAGCATGTATGTAGCCATGTAAAAGGTTTCAGAAATCTGTAAACAGGTTGACATAGCAAAAAGAAGTAGCAAGCTCTCCATGATATGGGTGGAGGAAACTGTACCATTTAAACAAGTGGCTTTTGCTACATCTGAAGAAAACATATTCCATTAGTCTGCATTTTGTAAAAAAGTATTCCTGTCTATCTTGTCAAACTCTGATTCTTCTGCATCAGCAGTATGCTTCCTTCTGTCTTGAATCTTCCACTGATCAAAAATCATTGATTGACCTGAGGGAGCTATCCTTTAAAAATGTGTTTGATTTTATTATGCTAAACTAGTAGAAGGTGAGGCATGACCAAAAGCTGCTGGTCAAAGTGGTGGACAGGTTGATCTAGTTATGAGAAGACATTCCTGCAGGAACCTAGACATCAAGTCATGTGTGTGTGTGTGTGTGTGTGTGTGAGAGAGAGAGAGAGAGAGAGAGAGAGAGAGAGAGAGAGAGAGAGAGAGAGAGAGAGAGAGAGAGAGAGAGAGAGAGAGAGAGAGAGAAGGTGCAGAAGCCTATCTGTAAATGGGATAGGGCTTGTAGTATAGATATAATACTACGGAGGGAGCTATAGAAGCACTATAAGATTGCTTTGAATGCACGGATTGGGGCATGTTGAAAGAAGTGGCAATAGATAACCAACATATAAATGTGGAGGAGTATGCCACCACTGTGTCTGCATATATTCAAAAGTGCATTGAGAATGTCGGTGTCCTTAAAAACATTGTTGTGAGGGCTAATGAAAAACCATGGATGACATATTCGCAAGATGTTGAAAGTGTGGAATGTGGCTATTAAACCCGGCGATATGCAGGTACTCAGAACAACCAGAGCCAATTTGAAAAGCGCCATAAAAAGAGCAAAGCAAGCCCATTGTCTGAAAGTTCAGAACTTTTTTCAGGCATAGGTGGCAAGGCACCCAGGCCATTGCAGACTATAAGGTGGCTCCATCGTGTGGTAAGGGTGACACAGACTTTTTAAATGAGCTGAACACGTTTTTGGGAAGATTCAAGGCATGAAATAGCACCTCTTACAGCAGTGTTTCTCAACCTTGGCAACTTTACGATGTGTGGACTTCAACTCCCAGAATTCTCCAGCTAGCAATGGTAGCTGGAGAATTCTGGGAGTTGAAGTCCACACATCGTAAAGTTGCCAAGGTTGAGAAACACTGTCTTACAGGAAAACTCTGCCCCATCCTGATGAGCAAGTGCTTAGCTTTGATGTTACCTCTGTCCGGAAAATATTGCGGAAAGTTAACATTCGAAAAGCAGCAGGCCCAGATAATATCCCTAGGCCTGTTCTTAGGGAACGTGCAAATGAGTTGGCTTGTGTTCTTATAGATATTTTCAATCTTTCACTGCAGTGGGCAGTGGTCCCATCATGTTTTAAGATGGCCATTATTTTGCCAGTGCCAAAAAAGTCTACAATTACAGGTCTCAATCATTACCATCCAGTTGCACTTACATCCATCATTATGAAATGTTTTGAGAGGCTGATGAAGGACATTATTGTATCCAGCCTCCCTCCAGCATTTGACTCGCTTCAGTTTGCTTACCGTCCAAATCGGTCTACAGAGGATGCTATTTCTTCTCTTCTCCATCTGAGCTTGGCGCACTTAATGGAAAGAAACACTACTGTGCAAATGCTGTTAGTCTACTTCAGTTTGGCATTTAGTACAATCATTCCTCAGCATCTAGTAGACAAACTGGGCCTTTTAGGCTTTTATACTCCTTTGTGCAGCTGGATTCTTTATTTTCTTATTGATGGGCCCCAGTACATGCAAGTTGGGATTAATATTTCTAACATTTTTTTGAGCACAGTTTCTCCTCAGGGCTGTGTCCTAAGTTGGCTGTTGTTCACCCTGTTGACCCATGAATGTTGTGCTAGGTTTGCCACCAACCATATTGTTAAATATGCGGATTATACAACAGTAGTGGGCCTTATTCAAGATAACAATGATGGTGCTTAGTGCAAGAAAGTAGAGGGTTTGGTGAACTGGTATAACAAAAACAGCCTGGTTTTAAACGTAAAAAAACCTAAAGAGATCATAGTTGATTTCAGAAAAGGCAGGCACAGCCACACACCTCTGTGTATCAATGATTCACCTGTGGAGGTGGTTAGCAGCATCAAGTTTCTGGGTGTGCAGCCAAAAAATAGGCTAGCTTGGTCGCTCAACAGTAAAATACTAGTAAACAGGCACAGCAGCGCCTGCATTTTCTGTGTCGCATGAGAAAAGTACATCTTCCTTCCCCTGTCCTTACTACTTTCTATAGAGGGATGATTGAGAGCATCCTGTCATACTGCATTACTGTCTGGTTTGGAAGCATTACAGTTTCATACAGGAAGGCGATGCAGAGAGTGGTGAGGATGGCAGAAAAGATTATTGGTAGTTCACTCCCTTCTATCCAGACATAGCTTATAAGCGATGCTTTAGCAAGGTCCATAGATAGTTGGGACACTACACATCCTCTTCATGACCTGTTTTCTTTGTTGCCTTCTGAGAAGAGGCTTCGTGGTATCTGAAACAGAACATCCAGATTCAGTCACAGTTTTGTTCCATATAGCATCAACCTTGTGAACCTTTTCCACTATGTATTCAAAATGGACTGTGATTAATATTTGTAATGTATATATATGTATGGGTGTAGGTATATATATGTATGCAGTGGTTTTTTTGTTAAAAAAAAAAAAAAAAAAGGTGCCGGAACTCACACATGTCATACAACCCGCCTTGCCTACCCTACAAGGTTCCATCCAAAAAAGGTGCCGGAACTCCGTTCTGGGCGTTCTATGACAAAAAAAAGCCCTGTATGTATGTATATAGCATGTGTATATGTGTGTTATGCATGTGTATGAGTAGGTATATACTTTCCTTTGAGAGCAGGCAGCAGAATTCATTTTTAATGTGCGCCCACAGTGTGCTCACAGTAAAAAATGGCCATTATCTTATCTTAATGTGATCTTGGCAGATCAGATCTGCCAGTATCTGGGCCACTATATTTTGTACCGAAATGCAGTTTCTGAGTGATCCTCAGAGGCATCCCCATGTAGACAAGAATTATGCAGCTCTCTGGAACTTGAAGGGTTTGCTTTAAAGGAATAAGACTTCACTTTATTACCTTAGTAATTTGTTGCTTTTATTCTTCCTCAGTGTGAGACAAACCAGAAACATTTATTGATTTCAAAGCACAGAAGAGTTTATTATTATACTGCCTCTAATACAAGAATCTAGTCAACTAACGGTCAACGCTAAATTGGCACTAGATTAAGGGTCAACGGAATTCACTGGTGGCAACTTAGATCTTTTATAACAATGCAGTGAGTCCAAATTATGACACTTTTAATGCTGCCTTCCAGCTCAGCTTCTTCTTTTCCTACACCCAGAGAACTAATGATGTTCTTCTGAGAGGAAGTCAGTCAGGAGACATGACAAATACGGCAAGATGTCAATATTTAACATCACTTCCATCTTTTAATAGAAAAGAAATAGGATGTAGATGAGCCATATTACAAAGTGTAGGGTGAATTTGGGCTAATGTGTGATAAATTTGATCAGTTTAAAATCATATGGTGATAGATACTGAAAGTTACGATTTCTTCTCTTGCAGAGATCTGGCAGAACAAATTGATTTTCCAGACTACTAGAATTATTATGTACTTTCTGTGCCTACATCACATTTACTGTAGTCTTTATTGCAGAAGAACAATGTTACCCTGTTGAGTTTTAAGATAGCTATAAAAACTTAGATTTTTGAGAGAGTGGGAACTGAAGCCCCACATTGGTTATGCGTTTGGATGTTTATTGTTCTTCAGTAGTCATGGTTTTCTTTGTAGTTTGACTTTTATTTAGATGGTTGTTCTTTTATGATATTTTTTCCTATTTAAATTTTCTTGTTAAAGGAAAAGAATGTAGGCTACCCACAGTCTCTCTGGATAGAAATGGCACCTAAACTAACAATGAAAAGATTTAGCTCAAACATCTTTTGTTGCTAAGCACTCCTTATCAACACTTGACTGTATTCTTCACTATTTTATGAACTAGGGAGGATATGCAGCTGTGCCTCGAGCAGAAAAGATAAGAACCTGCACAAAACTATACTTTGAAGGCAGCACAAAAGCTAAGCTGATCCTGCAGAGAATTCAAAAGTTCCTGGGGTGGCAGACTGAGGAGAATATTTGTTATTATTTGTGAGGAGAATCCCAAATGTGGTTTTTCAGGAGGCAATTGGACTTCATTGTTTTTCTTTGAAGACGTTTCAAAGAAGCTTCTTCAGCTCTGACCAGATGATGGGGAATGAGCTGAAGAAGCTTCTTGGATGAGAAGCGAAACGTCTTCAAAGAAAAACAAGAAAGTCCAGTTGCCTCCTGAAAAAGCACATTTGGGACAGCCATGACGTGGATGACTGAGAATCTCCACAGACATTTATGAGGAGAATATTTGTTATTGCAAGAA